CTCCCCCTTTTCTGATGAAGGGTCTAGGCCCGAAACGTCAGCCTCTCAGCTCCTATGATGCTGCTTGGCCTGCTGTGTTCATCCAGCCCTGCACCTTGTTGTCTCGGATTCTCCAGCATCTGCAGTTCCTACTATCTCTGATTCAATTTATTGTTACATATTGTCTCTGATGAGTGAGAATGGGAATGTAGTTTTGGAATCTCAGAAGTAAAAGTTGTTATTAAAAGTAAAAACAAAGCACTAAGGATGCTGAAAATTTGCAATAAAAACATAAAGTGCAAGAATAAAACTCATCAGGTCAAACAACATTTGAAGAAGTATCTTAATGGATCCGAAACATTACAATTCTTTCTCTCCCCATATTTCTTAGAAATACTTTGTCTGCAGAAATATTGGCCCTTTGTGGAAGCAGTGGATATGGGGTTCTATTTATTAAATATTTTCCAACAACAATAGTATATATGCTTCTGAGGAGCAGACATCTCTGGTGGTTTATACGGCTGGAGAAAGTTGTAGAAATAGAGCCAATGGAAGCAACAGAAGGCAAATATGAGAATGTTAAAGCCAAGGTGTTTGTCAACCAGGAGGGAATGAGTAAACCAACAACTGCAGGGTTGATAGATGACCTGGGCTTGTTGTGAGTTAAGACACAATCAGCAGGTGGATATAGTGATCTTATTATGAATGCATGGCTGAGTTCGAAAAATGCCTAATACACTTAGATTTCAGCAAACAATGTTTAAGCAGCTGCAAAGGGGAGGGAAAGTTTCATTAGAACAAGTCTTTTGGGTGTGGTGCATGGGTATTCCTGCAAGGGCTGGCATGTGTTGTATATTACTAACTGTCTTTGAGAAAATTGGTGAGAATCACATTCTTAAACTGTGACATTTTATCTTGTGTGGGTACACTTATAGTACTCCTGAATTTTGATCCCATGACAATGAAGAAACAGGCATATGTTTCCAAGTCAGGATTGTGTGAGGCTTGGATGGGGAATTTGCACATAGAGCTATTTCCATTAATCTACTCCCCTTAACCTCCTAGGTGGTAGAATTAATGGGTTTGGAGGTTGCTGTTGAGGGAGATTTGGTGACTTGCTGATGTGAACAAGATACGTACAGCTGCTGCTGTGTATTGGTGCTGAAACGATTACTTGTTTAATTTGAAAGAAGTGATGTCATTCAAGTGGATTGCTTTGTTTTGGATTGTGTCAAGTTTCTTGAGTGTTGCTGGAGTTGCAATCATCCAGGCAACTGGACAATATTCTATCACATTTATGACATTGTATCTATTCACAGGATGTGGGAATTTTTGAGTAGGCCCATCAATAGCTGTACTCAAGAAGGTGATAGTAAACTGCCTTCATGAGCCACCATGGTCTATATGGTTAAGTACACTGACAGTATTATTGGGAAGAAATTTTCAGGATTTTGAACTAGTGACAGTGAAAGACCAGCAATATGTTGCTTAGTCTGGCTTGGAGAGAAACTCCCAGGTGGCAGTGATCCATGCATCTGTTGCTGTTGTCCTTCTAGGTGCCAGAGGTCGTGAGTTTGAAGAACCCTTGGCGAGTGGTAAGAGTGCATCTTCTAAAGTGCATTAGTGGTGAAGGGATTGAATATTGAAGCTGGGGAATGAGATGCCACTCTAGCAGATTGCTTTGTTCTGGATCGTGTTGAGCTTCCTGAGTGTTGTTGGGGCTGCATTCATCCATTGAAGTGGGGAGTATTCCATCACACCCCTGACTTGTGCCTTTAGATGGTGGACAGGTTTTTGAGGAGTCAGGAGGTGAGGTATTCGCTGCAGGTTTCCCAGATTCTGACCTCTTTTATTCACAAAGCTTATATGCATTATTCAGATCAGCTTCTGATAAATAATAGCTCCAGGATGTTGATAGTGATGTATTCAGTGATGTAATGTCTTTTAACATTAAAGAGAGATAGTTTGACTCCTTCATTGTGGAAATGGTAATCGCTTGGCAATTGTGAATGTTGACCTGGTCTTGCTGCATACAGATTGAGACTACATCAGTATCTGAGAAGTCACAAATGGTGCTGAACATTATGTAATCATCAGTAATCATTCGCAATGACAGATTGACAAAGGCACAAATTTGTTTATTTTGAAAGGCAGTATTCAGGTTTCTTTCGAAGAGAAATGGGTTTGTAACAGCAGCTGTACTGTTTAGCAGTATTCAGTCAGGCCAGAAGAAAAGAAGTCCTGAATAGCTTAGAAGTTAGTAATAAGAAAGTTCCAACACAATTACAGCTGTGGTAACTGAACAGGAACTTTAAAGTAGAGGCAGAGTGATCCTTTACTGAGGTCTGAATATCTGTAAGAATAAAGCTGAGGGTAAAAGGGTTGAATTTTTATTTCTAATATTTGTAATAAGATCAGTTTAATTCTTCTTGTATTGTGTAAAAACCTTCATGTTCTTTTGTTAAAGTACGCTGGCGAATGTGTTCAGTAAACAAGTATTTCATTTTATTTTTTGTCATCAAACGAGGTTTCACTCTGGGATCTGACTTGTTCAATGTTACCCTCAGTTGGCAACATAACACAGTTTAGTTTCTGATCAATGGTAACAGCCAGAATGTTGATACTGAGGGATTCAGCGATGGTAATACCTTTGAACATCAAGGTGAAATGGATAGATTTTCTCCTGTTGGACATGTCATTATCGATCACTTATGGGATGTGAATGTCTTAACTGCCAGCCCTTTTTCCATTTCAGGGAGAGAAAGTTGAGCTGGCATTGGCCGTGCTGCTTTCTGTGATAGGCCTGAGATAGGAGCTGAATTAGACAGGTGACAAAGATGGCAGGCTTAAACATCCGTTTTGATCCTCTGGGACATAAACTCAGTG